GGTGTTGCCCTGTTGGGCTTGGACATTGACTCACGATTCTTCTGTATCATTCTCAAATGGATGGTTACTCGGTTCCATTGTGCTATCTGCTCTGGCTTTGACTACTTGGACTTCAGTGTGATTTTGCATTCTGGATTTCTGTGCTTCGTCCATATTCATGTTCCTTGCAATTTGGTATCGGAGCTGGTTTGATTCGCCACTTACCTTTGGCACGCTGGCGTTATACAGACTCGGTGCGTTGACGATGCTTCTTCGCAGTGGGTACTTGTGACGTCAGGCCACAAAAGGCGCACGCCCTGGGTAGAGAGGGGTGCACCGGAAGGCTAAGACGGCAGTGTATGCCGTGGTGACATGCGGAATGTATGATTGGTGATGAGAGCATGCTGATGTGGCATTCGGCTGAGGTGGCACTGCATTGCGTTGTGGGTGGTACCGAGGCCAAGACCGGTCATCAAATGCACACTCAGCTCAATTGGTGAGAAATCTGTGGTTGGGGGCAGCTATCTCCAGGTATGTTGTTCCCTTACCTTATCTACTCTCTCAATCTCTTCTTACCGTGAGGAAGTGAGTCCAACTTGAGAGTCCTCTCTTTTGGTGAGGTGTCGTGAGCGCACTACCTTGAGAGACGACAATCTTCCCGGAAGCATCTGGAAGGAGAAAGAGCGGTGCCTCTGAAGGGCCCTGGTCGAAGCACTGGGTCACGGTCACCATGCCAACCCAATGGGAGTAGGTCACGCATGCGATGGCTGTTGTCCATTATGGCACTTGCTGCGCTAAATAGAAGTCCTGCCGGGTGTGCCAGCCTTTTATGAGACGCTTACCAGACCGTCTATAAACATTTCTGGTTGGGGACTCGGTTTGATTCTGGCTGTGATAGTCGTCCTGACTGCGACGTTAAAGAATTCCTGAAGAGATGGGGGCGCTCTATAAATTCCTCCTGATGAGCCAGATCAACCGGATGTAAGGCTCGTTTCCGTACGAGGGTAAATAAGAGTGGACTGGCTGGCTTGCTCGGCTACGACTTGGGCACAGGGGTGGGCCGATACACACACGAAGACACTGCTCGCTCAATGATGCTTACCGGTRTGTTGGATTGAGGGGAAGGGTAGGTTCTAATTGGTGCTCAACTGTATACACAACCATACCCACTCATCATACATCTGCTACATGGTCTTTTTGTATTCTTGATTAGTTGGTGGACAGACTGCTAACACCTCACAGACAGATTAGATTAGGACCGTTGTATGCTACCATAGCCAGTTCTGTCTAATGCTGCTGTAAGTGAACCAATCAGAGTACACCTAGACCATGTAGACAATCTGTTGTGAATGTTGTAGACATGCCACTTGATCGGTACAGCAGGGGACCTGCCGGACACAACTATTTTTAGAAAATTAGGTGCCGGTCAGACACATGCTGTGGTAGGATTCCACTAGGGGATTCTAGTGCAGAAACTGTCTGCCTAACTGATGAGCGGAACAGATCCTGTTGATGATAGAGCAGACAATAGGAGACTAACACGTGCGGAGGCACTTAGGGTCCCGCACGTGTCCCAGGCCCTACAACCGCGAGACGAAAGACGGCTTATAACCGAACGTAGAGCCCGTGCACTAGCAGCAGCTAGGGCAACAGCGAACGCCGCAGCTAGGGAACAGGCTGCAGCAGCAGCCAGGGCATTAGCCATGTCTTCTGCAGCAGCAGTATCCTCGGTCGCGGCTTCGTCTAGGACCAATGGGACCATGTTGGGAATGCCCACAGGGTCCACGGGTACTTCCAGTTCAATGGGTTCTCGACAGTCTACTAGTCAAATGGTGGGCTCGCAGTTCAGCCCGTTGACCTCTCGTGAGAGGGAGCTCAGAGAGATCCAACAGGTCGAAAGGCTCCGTGAACAGTTAGAGAGGGATCTGAAGAAAGCAACCGATAGAGAAAGAGAGATGAAAAATAGAGCAGCCAGGCTTGATACTTTAGAGGCTGACAAGGCTAAGTTAGAGGGCTTGGATGAGTCAGCATTGTCTGACCAAATGAAAACACTGAAGAAGAATATGTTGTCGTTGCATGCACACGTGGACAGCAGATTAGACTTCATGCAGAGCACTTTAGACCAGATCCTGGATGTATTGACAAGGCCAGGATTCAGGCCACCAGCACAATCGCCGTTGCCGTTATCGGCGATGTCAGACCCCTTTCCAGTTCAAGCTGGTACACAACC